CAAGACGAAGTCCAGAAGAGCGTCTCTCCCTAAGCTGCCCTACCTGGAGTTGGGGGAGGAATGATGCAGACAGTCCATTGGCCACTACAGCTGGTGTCACATGGGGTTACACACACTCCAAGTCCCCTGCCTCCATGACCAGTGCAGCTCCAGGGTTTGCCCAAGGACTATAGTCCTTGTGACCTGACTGTCACTCATATTTAGTCAGGGCCCCAGGCAACTTTGGTCAGCTGCTGGTAGAACCAGCTGGGACTCTGGTCCGTCCCACTCTGGCTGAGGATTCTCCTCTGGCCCAGAGCTGATCTAAATGCTTCCTCTGTGGGTGCCAGCAGAATTCTGCTCAGTGTTATGCTGTGCTGTGACAGGGCAGCAGTGAGTTCCAATGCAAAATCTCACACTCCTCTCTCTCCCCCAGGTGCACAGATTCTTTCTCCAAGCTGTTGTGCCAGGAGTGGGGGAGGAGGGGATAGGCGATGCGGGATCATCTTTGCCACCCTCTTCAGTGCCTCCTCCCTTGATATGATATGAAAACCAGGTAATGTCAAGAAGCAGCTCCTCTGATCCTTCTGGAATCTCTGCCTGGTTCAGCCTGCCAGCCTCCACTCCTGCCTTCACCATGTCCATCAGGGTGACCCAGAAGTCCTACAAGGTATCCACCTCTGGCCCCTGGGTCTTCAGCAGCTGCTGAGGGAACTCCTCTTAGTAAGAGTCTTATAAGACAGGCCTGGTGCCCACATCAGCTCCTCAAGCTTCTCCCAAGTGGGCAGCAGCAGCTTCTGGGGTGGCCTGGGTGCAGGCTATGGTAGGGCCAGCGGCAGGGGCATGGGAAGCATCACCGCCGTCACAGTCAACCAGAGCCTGATGAGCCCCCTTAACCTAGAGGTGGAGCCCAACATCCAAGCTACACATACCCAGGAGAAGAAGCAGATCAAGACCCTTAACAACAACTTTGCCTCCTTCATTGACAAGGTAAGGTCCTTGGAACAGAAGAACAAGATGCTGGAGACCAAGTGGAGTCTCTTGCAGCAGCAGAAGACAGCTTGGAGCAACATGGACAACATGTTAGAGAGGTACATCAACAATCTTGGGTGGCAGCTGGAGACCCTGGGCCAGGAGAAGCTGAAGCTGGAGGCAGAGCTTGGCAACATGCAGGGGCTGATGGAGGACTTCAAGAGCAAGTATGAGGATGAGATCAGTAAGCGTACTAAGATGGAGAATGAGTTTGTCCTTATAAGAAGGATGCGGATGAAGCTTAAACGAACAAGGTAGAGCTGGAATCTCTCCTGGAAGGACTGACTGATGAGATCAACTTCCTCAGGCAGCTGTATGAAGGGGAGATCCCGGAGCTGCAGTCCCAGATCTCAGACACGTCTGTGGTGTTGTCCATGGACAACGGCTGCTCCCTAAACATGGACAGCATCATCGCTGAGGTCAAGGCACAATACAAGGAGATCACTAAGTGCAGGTGGGCTGATGCTGAGAGTATGTACCAGATCAAGTAAGAGGAGCTACAAATGCTGGCCAGGAAGCACGGGTATGACCTGCGGCGTACAAAGTCTGAGATCTCTGAGATGAACCAGAATATCAGCCTGCTCAAGGCTGAGATTGATGGCCTTAAAGGCCAGAGGGCTTCCCTGGAGGCTGCCATCATAGACACTGAGAAGCGCAGGGAGCTGGCCATTAAGGATGCCAATGCCAAGCTGTCTGAGCTGGAGGCCGCCCTGCAGTGGGCCAAGCAGGACATGGCGCAGCAGCTGCGTGAGTACAACAAGCCGATGAACATCAAGTTGGCCCTGGACATTGAGACTGCCACCTACAGGAAGCTGCTGGAGGGCGAGGAGAGCCGGCTGGAGTCTGGGATGCAGAACATGAGTATCAATACAAAGACCACCAGCGGCTATGCAGGTGGTCTGAGCTCTGCCTATGGGGCCTCACAAGCCCTGGCCTCAGGTACGGCCTGGGCTCCAGTTCCTTCAACCACACCAGCTCCATCAGGGCCATGGTTATGAAGAAGATTGAGACCCATGACGGGAGGCTGGTGTCTGAGTCCTCAGACATCCTGCCTAAGTGAACAGCTGCAGCAGCCCCTCCCAGCCTGCTTCTCCTGAGGCTGCCCCAGAGCCTGGGAGGTAGGCCCCAGTGCAAGGGAGCACGGGAAACAGGAGACCCACCTGAGGCTCAGCCCTAGCCCTCAGCCCACCCACTGAGGAGTTTACTGCCTGGGGATCCCCCTTGCCCATGCCTCCGGCTGCAGAACAATTCAATGGCTTTTTTTTTTTTTTTTTTTGTCCAAAATAAAACCTCAGCTAGCTCTAAAAAAAAGAAAGAAAACCAGGTACTATCGTCACTCACCTGATTTTCTGTTGCTTATGAAGATGCTTTTCTTTTTTTATTTTTTTAGAGACAGGGTTTCACCATGTTGGCCACGCTGGTCTCCAACTCCTGACCTCTGAATCCACCTGCCTCAGCCTCCCAAAGTGCTGGGATTATAGGCGTGGAGCCACTGCACCCAGCCATCTTTTTTTTTTTTTTTTTTTTTTAATAAGGAATCTTACTCTCTCGCCCGGGCTGGAGTGCAGTGGCACCATTTCATCTCACTGCAACCTCCGCTTCCCAGCTTCAAGTGATTCTCCTGCCTCAGCCTCCCAAGTGGCTGGGATTACAGGCCCCTGCCATCACACGCAGCTAATTTTTGTATTTTTAGTAGAGATGAGGTTTCTCCATGTTGGCCAGGCTGGTCTCGAACTCCTGATTTCAAGTGATTTGTCTGCCTGGGCCCCTCAAAGTACTGGTGACCATGAGTCACTGTGCCTGGCCTAAACGTGTTTTTCTTGCAGGGACAGTTGTTCAGTTTAGTGTACCTGCAAGGAGACAATTGCTGGAGGGTTCTGTCTGCCCATCTTGCTCCAGCCTTTCCATTTTCAACCAGTAAGAGTAGCCACTGTTTCAGGAAAAAAAATCATCTTGTGATCACCCTCTTTTTCCTTACTTTTCCAGTCTATTTAAATACCAAGTGCCATTGTAAAGACATTGCCTTCATGGTTGTGAAGAGATGAAGCAATTAAATTTAGCCTCATGAGCAAAAAGTCCTGGAGTGACAGCATATTAATCATGTGTCCCTTAATTTGAGGGAGGTCATTGATTCTGGTCTAATAGCATCTAGATGAAAGTTGAGCCTTCACTGAGCACCGTGGCTCACACTTGTAATTCCAGTGCTTTGAGAGGCTGAGGCAGGTGGCCTGTCGACCCTGAGAGTTTGAGACCAGCCTGGGCAACATAGTGAGACCCCATCTCTCCTAAAAATAAACAGATAGCTGGGTGTGGTGGCGCATGCACCTGTAGTCCCAGCTACTCGGGAGGATGAAGTGGGAGGATTACTTGAGCCCAGGAGGTTGAGGCTGCGGCGAGCTGTGATCATGTCAGTGCTGCACTCCAGCCTGGGTGACAGAAGGAGACCCTGTCTCAAAACACACACACGCACACACCCTTAACAGAAAGAAATACAACAAGGTTACTTTTACACATGGAAGACAGTAAGAGAAATCATGCCCTAGGGAGAGAGGTTGTGTGCGGGTTAAGGAGGAAAGAGAAACAAGTCAGATCTGGTCTACGGGGCACCTTGGACGCAGTGCAGGAGTTGACACTAGCAGGATAGAAAGACATGGAAAAATGGTCTCTCCTTCCTTCTTATGCATAAGGAGGCCTACCTGCTCCTGGGAGTGGCAAGGCCAACAATGTGAGTGGTAGGAAGTGGCGCTTGAGCCAAGGCCAGTGTGGCACAGAGGTTAAGGAGGTTAAGTGCTCCAGGGTTGCGATTTAGCAGGCTAGGTTTGAAACCTGACTCCTCTGCTTATGGGCTATGTGATCTGAAGCAATTTACCTACCTCTCTGAACCTCAGCTTCTTCCAATAGGAAATGAAGATCACAATATCTTTCCTATGTAAAGCCCACAGCAAGGTATTCCAAAACTATCATTCTTAGGCCAAGGGAGTGCTTCAAAAGGAAAACAAAACAAAGCTAACACTAAATCTAAGCATTTGTTATATACAGTGTTTGCCATGTTAGCTACAATCTGGAAACAACACATCCAATTAATTCAGGAAGTGTCAAAACCATTTACCTAGTTGATAAAATATGTTACAGCTGTTCAATATTTTAACAATTAAAAACTATGTAGCGGCCGGGCGCGGTGGCTCAAGCCTGTAATCCCAGCACTTTGGGAGGCCGAGGCGGGTGGATCACGAGGTCAAGAGATCAAGACCATCCTGGTCAACACAGTGAAACCCCGTCTCTACTAAAAATACAAAACATTAGCTGGGCATGGTGGCACGTGCCTGTAATCCCAGCTACTCAGGAGGCTGAGGCAGGAGAATTGCCTGAACCCGGGAGGCGGAGGTTGCGGTGAGCCGAGATCGCGCCATTGCACTCCAGCCTGGGTAACGAGAGCGAAACTCCGTCCCAAACAAACAAACAAACAAAAAAAAAAACTATGTAGCAATAGATGTGCTGGGTGACTCTGAAAGAAGAAACAGGAGACATGGTCACTGTGCAGTGGAGTTAGAATCTTTAACAATGTGAACTGTCATAGGATTAACAGTTAAAGTAAGTGGTACAGATTAGGAGTGATTTATAAACTTGAGTATGACCTGGTGGCCTGGATAGGTTAAGAAAGAGTTATGGAACAGGACAGATTGAGCTGGGCCTGGAAACTGGATAGAATTTATGTCAAGTATGAAAGCCTAATTCATGTAGAGGATACAGAAGGAAGCTCCATTATGTGGAGAGAGGATACGCAGAGAACAGGCAGGAGACCGGACTGGCTCAAGCAGAGGTTACATGCCAGGACAAAGTAATAAACTGTGGCCAAAGTCATGCCATGCTGAATAGTCTGAACTTTATGCCATAAGCCTTTTGAATGAAAGAAAACAACATCTGAAGACAAACTGGAAGCACGGGATACTGCCGAAAAGCAGTCATCCCACACATGGAGATGCGGGTCTGATACAAGAAATATTTAGAATGTTGTGCCATTTTCTTCTTTTGTTCTAATTCATGTGGTTTTTTTCCCACCCCCTTTCCATCTGTTTTTCACGTTATTCTCTTTCTGAACTGCCATGGGCTGCCAATTCCTGCTGACCTAGAGCTCTCATCAGTTCCTCCCATTCCCTTAACAGGTGCCTGGCATCGTCCCCAGGCCTTGCCTCTGGGCCAGGCAGTGTGGAAGGAATCATTTGCTGGGAAGCAGTATGACCAGGACCCAGAAGGCAAAGACCTTTCTCCCTCATTGCTTCTATCAGTCACTGCCCCCACGGCTGGGATGGGGCATGACTTTAAACTACCCAAAACTGAAAGGCAAGGAGGAGTGTGCCTCTGTCACCAGTGTGCCTCAGGTCAGCTCACAGCACTGTCTATACCGCAAGAGGCAATATTTGAAAATGGCTGCTGCAAACCTTACCTTCTCTCAGGAGGTGGTGTTGCAGCGAGGGCTGCCCAGCATTCCTTACAGTCAGTACAGCTTTGACCACCTCTACAACACCGATGGCATCATCCACACTCCCCGGATCAAGAAGGCCTGGCCTCAGAAACCTGTTAGCTTCAAGTTCCTGGGTTCCTCAAGTCCCTTAGCAGGAGACACCTCCCCGGCTGTGAAGACAGAAAGCTCTGCCAATCCCAAAAAGAAGCTGAAGAAATCAAAGCCAGCAGGCGCTGTCTGGGAATCACCCCGCCCTCTCATCCAGCGTCCCTGCATGTATCCAGATAGTCTAGGTCGGCCGCCTTCTCCAGATGTGAACCTGGAGGACAGAGAAGCCTGGCTTTCGCCTCCTGAGAAGGAGGCCAGAGCATGGGAGGACACTGTGCTGGAAAAGCTGAACAAGCGCACAGCCCGATGGATCCAGAACAAGCGTCCTCAAAGGCCTGGGGCATCCCCCAGCAAGTGGCAGAGCTTCCTGCGCCAGCAGTACGACTGGAGTCACATCCGTGACGAGCTTACCTCCTCCAGCGACCTGGAGCTCCTGAAACAGCTGGAGGCAGAAGAGACAGCAGAGTTTGAGGATCAAGGTGTCATCCCACCCCCACAAGAAAAGAAGAAGCCAGAACTGCTACTTCCTGCTTACTACAGGTATACTGGCCAGGGCCCCAAGCACACCCTTGATAATCCCTGACTCCCCTTCAGGGACCCCCAGGTGGACTCACACTTCCGATTTTGGAATGCACTCTCCCATCAGCCTCATGTTCTCCACCAGCAGCCTGCTCTCTGAGAGCTCTGCAAAGTAAGGTTTCTCAGTCTGCACTGCTGACATTCTGGGTTGGATAATTTTTGTTGGGGGAGCTGCCCTATGCATTATAGGATGCTAGCAGCATCCCTGACTCATACCCACCAGAGCACAACCTCCTAGCTGTGATGACCAAAGATGTGTCAAACACTGCCAAGTGTCTCCAAGAGGGACAAAATCATTCACAGCTGGGATCCACTGCTCTTAAAGGGATTGGTTCCCAACCTTCTCCAGCAGACTTAGCCATCAGTCTGCTGGTCTAGCTACCATCCAGGTGCTCCCAGAAATGTATCCTTGGTGAAGCGAGGAAGGCAAGAACCTCGTAGCACTGAGTGGTCCTGCCTCACTCTGAATAAGGAACCAGGGTGTCACTGACTCAAAAACTGACTAGCTACAGGACAGAGAACCAGACAACCTGAGAGAAAAAGATAAGTATATGTTTCTCAGATTGCTTCCATCTCATTTATAGCTGGAGGGAAGATGAGCTATTATACTATCCCTGATTCCCAAGAGTGAACTAAAAATAAGTGGAAATCCATTTATTCATTTGTTAGACAAATATAAACTATGTACTTGCTACTTTCCATGCACTCTGCAAAGTGCTGGGAATACAATGTAAAAGCGACAGACACAGACATGCACCTTTAAGGAGCTTAACAGCCTGTCCACCAGGTGGATGGACATTAAATAACCACACACAGAATAGACAGAGTGAGATGACGTAGGAGGTGGGTTCCCTCCCCCAAGGCCATGGAGCCTCTAAGGGCACGAATGTTAACAAAGGGTTTTGCTGGAGCACAGCCGCTCTGCCATGCTGCCTGGTGGCTGCAGAAGGTGTGGATGCTTCAGTAGCTGGGCAAGGTGGCTGTAGACGGCCCTTCTGGCAGCTCCACATTCAACTGGCACCATGGGGACAAGGCTAAAAGTTAAACATAGGTGTTCTGCAATGTTCACGTGTGTAGGAGCTGAGCTTAAAGATGAAAGGAAATGAGCTGTGGATCTAATGGAAAGGGGGATCCACCTCCTACTCTTTCCCACTTTTCCCTCCTTTCTCACCCTTGCCAAGATTGCCCAGTAATTTCCCACAAGCAGAGACAGTTGAAATCATGCCCGGCAACAAGACCACTGAGGATATCCATGAAAAGATGAGCATCTCCCAGCCCCAAAACCAGAGCTACTTTCGTCAGGTGAATCCCCAAGCTGGAAAGTTTGCCTACTCCACAGACAACACCTTTGAACAGGAGATTTACTTTGGTAATAGAGCTGGGCCCCTGTGGTAGGGGCAGAGGAGGACATGGGCCAGGGAGATGGAAGGTCACGGGGGGCTAGAAACAGTTGTGGGTATGGACAAGAGGCCCTGGGTGACCCTGGTTTTCATGTTCATGACCCAGCACCCATACTAGCACAGGAGTCGGGTTGGGAATGATATCTAACAGGGAGGGAACTGCTCTCTCTCCCTGCTTTCTCTGTCGCTCCATCTTATTAAAGCGGCAATGAAGGATGGAACTGTAAAGTAGGCAAGACTTTGGGAAAAACCAATCTCTTCTGTGTCCACCCTTCTCCCTTCTCTTACTTTGAAATATTCTCCCACCAATGTGCTATGTTGGAAAAAATTACGGCTTTGGAGTCAGGCACATTGGGGTTTAAATCCTGGCTCAGTATTTTTTAGTAACTTTCAGTAAATTATATAATCCCTCTGATCCATAAATACCTTATTTGTGAAGTGACACTAACAAAAATGCACTTTGAGTAGATGAGAAAGCACCTATAATGCTTCTTGCCCACTGTCTAAGGTGTTCAGTAAATGTTCACCACCTTCGCCTTCCCTACTGCTGTCCTTTAGATGCCTGGGCTTTCAGGATACCTGATTTAGGTCTTCATGTTCCAAGCTGTTTCTTCTTCCCAAGCCCCATCTTGTTCCTAAACTGCTGCAGCTGAAAATCTTCGCAAAGTGTTTAACAAAATTACTCTAAGGATTCATGATTCATGGAATCAATAAGGGGCCTCTTTTTTAGTATCTAGCTTTTCGTAAGGCATAAGGCCTCTAAGTGGTTATATAGGTTATTTTCTTTTTTTTTGAAACAGGGTTTCACTCCCACTGCCTACGCTGGAGTGCAGTGGTGCTATCTTCACTGCAACTGCCACCTCCTAGGCTCAGTAGAGACTCCTACCTCAGCCTCCCAAGTAGTTGCACCCAGCTAATTTTTGTAGTTTTTGTAGAGACAGGGTCTCACAATGTTGCCCCGGCTGGTCTCGAACTCCTGATCATAGGTGATTCACCCGCCTCGGCATCCCAAAATGCTGAGATTACAGGTGTGAGCCACGGCACCCGGCCATGGGTTCTGCCTTAGAAAAGAAAGCACCGTCCTTGGCTCCCAGACCTCTAATGAGGCGACTAGCTATGACATTTTTTTTTTCCCCACAGACACTACAGTGACTTATCACTGTGATATTTCTTTTTTTTTTTTTTTTTTTTTTCACTTTTTTTTCACTGTGATATTTCTAAGCAATGGTCACCTTCAAAGGATGCCCCAGAGTATGTTAGTCATGGATCCTAGGGGCTTAGATTAGGGTAAAAGGAAGTTGGGTCTGATCCTGGTGATTGGGAACCCAGGAAGAAAGGAAAGAGGGAGGATATAGGGAACTCACTGTTTCTTTGTCTGTTCACAGATGAAGTCCGGATCATCCACCAGATTGGTGCAAAGAGAGACAAGATTCTCCTGGAAAACCTAAATCGGTATAACAAGCAGCTATCTAAGGTCTTCCCTGAAACTCCAGAAAAGTGGAGTGCCCAGGCAATTCCTGAAGCATGTAAGGAGGAAGCAGATAATGGGGAAGGCAGCAGTTAAAAATGGGAGTGTGGCTACTTCCCATCATTACCCCCCATTCATGTGCTTGCGCTCCCAGTTCATGGACTGAGGCACTATTAGCATCTGGCAATCCCCTTTCTACCTACTAAAAATAATCTCACAATATTATAAAATACTAACTGTGACTAGGAAGAGCCTCACAGGAACATACATTCAGTTGAGACCTGATATAGCTTAGGTATAACTAAGTGCTTTAGGGCCAATAGTTACCAACGAGGCAGCTCCTATTTCAATGCTAATAATAGGGGAAGTGCATCAAACTCCTGACCCAGCATTCTGCCCTTTTCCCTTGGGCTGGCTCTACCCTCCCACTCCACACTCAGCCCACCTATACCTGAACTTTCACAGGGTCATCATTCTTCACTCTGTAAGACAAAGAGAGGGGCCGGGCGCAGTGGCTCAAGCCTGTAATCCCAGCACTTTGGGACGCCGAGGCGGGTGCATCACGAGGTCAAGAGATCGAGACCATCCTGGTCAACATGGTGAAACCCTGTCTCTACTAAAAATACAAAAAAAAATTAGCTGGGCATGGTGGTGCGTGCCTGTAATCCCAGCTACTCAGGAGGCTGAGGCAGGAGAATTGCCTGAACCCAGGAGGCGGAGGTTGC